TAAAACGGACAGCTCCAAATTATTTGCTCCTGTAACTCTACGAATAGATAAGTCTATAATGGATCTTATTATCGCTAACATGCTGCCTTACAATATTGTGGAAAGTGAAGTTTTTCACAAGTTAAATATTTGCGATCCAGATACACCCCTTAGATACAGGAAAAAAAGTGAAAAGTATTTTAGAACTGAATTAATGCCAGCCACTTATGATAAGATTAAACAGAAGGTAATGCATGTAATATCTGAGGCTGATTGGTTAAGTTTTACAACTGACATTTGGAGTAATTCTTCTTCTTCAAAGACTTGCTCTCTACTAAGCTTTACAGCACATTTTATTCAAGGCCCACACAGACTCAAAGTTGTGTTAGCTGCAATGCCTCTTGATAAAGACCACACAGGGGAGTATATCGCACAGAAACTTATTGAAGTGATCGACGAGTATAACATCAAAAATAAAATACACCTAGCTATAGCTGATAACGCACCAAATATAAAAGCGGCGCTACGTTCGGGTGGATTTTCATTTTTAGGATGTGTAGCACATACACTGCAACTTGTTGTTAATCAATAAATTTTTGAAAGCAAAAACATTTCCATGCTAAATAAAAAGTGTCGCAAAATAATTGGGCAATTCAAAAAAAAGTGCACAAGCATGATATCAAACTGCTTGTGGTTTACCCAAACACGTTCTTATACAAGATATGCCAACTAGGTGCAATAGTACCTATTTTAATGCTAGACAGACTTTTTGAACAAAAATTTGCTATAAATCTTTAAGCTGTAGAACGCTCTTCTATAGAAGTTATTAACGGGAATGAATGGAGTACTATACAAAACATTACAACTGTTCTGAAGTCGTTTTACCAGGCCACATTGGACATTTCTTCAGATTACGCCTGTGTGTCTATTGTAATACCTTTGTTGTTTGTGTTACGCGAAAAACTTGTTCCTAGTGAGGATGATTCAAAAGAAGTTTTATCATTAAAATATCGCTTGAACGATGCACTGAATAAGCGATTTGACTATGCAAAAGAATGCCATGATCTATTACTAGCTTCCTTCTTAGATCCAAGATTCAAACACAAATATTTTACTGAGAATGAAGTTAAAATATGTAAAGATTTAATAAAAAGGTTCTTGGATTTTGAAATGAATGTAAGTAAGTTTGATGATGAAACTGTTGATCTGAATTCAAACGTAAAATGTAACATTTATCAATATTGGCATCATAGTTCTTATAACTGCTTAAAGAAATTGGCAATAAAACACCTTTCGGCTCCCCCGTCCAGCGTTGCTAGTGAGCAACTGTTTAGTGCTGCAGGTCAGCTATATCGGGACAGAAGAAGCAATCTCCTTAGTGAAAATGCGAATAAACTTTTATCTTTATTTTACAATATAAAATTGTTTAATTTTAAGTATTAAAAATTTAATATTAATGTACATACCTAATTTTTAATGAAACTCAATAACAAGTGAATTTAGAAAAAAGATCAATGTGGAGCTAATTCAAGCAGATCGGGTTCAAAGAAAAACCCGAGCGTTCGGGTTCGGTTTCGGTCGGACACTAAATAGTAGCTTATGTCGAAAGGTTGGCTTTAGTATAATGCAGCATTCGCAGCATACGATTTATATTTTCCAAAAAAAATCTAAGAGGCTGCTCTGTAATACGATTCGAAAAAGAAATGCGATGCAATTACCACTGTGAAAAGACTCTTATATTACTTCTACCACTGACGACAATGCATATGTATATGTATACGTGCAATTATAGCGTAATTCCTTAGAAAAGCGAAAAAACATCTTCCATACAACGCCCTAAAGAGTTTTCAGGATAAGCTGTTGTGAGTGATCACGAATGGAGCACCCGCATCGTTTACCTCATTTATGTAGGTGCACACCCAAAACTCTTACAAAATAAAATTTTATGAAGAACGTACGTATTTACGAAATATCTTGTATTCAGGGAAATCCCAACTAAACCACACAACTCGACACTTAGCGAAATGCAGTTTGAAGAAAAATTCACTACCTGCTACAACTCTAAAATGAACGAAATCATGTGCTCTATTTCCGTAAATATTTCTAAAGCATACCGAGCCCTAACCGCCAAAATAACGTAAGCGAAATTTTTTTCAAAATTTTCTTTTTGATGCAGAAATATTCCTAGAGCATCTAGATGCATTTCTGCATCAAAAATAAAATTTTGAAAAAAATGTCGCTTACGTTATTTTGGCGGTTAGGGCTCGATACTATTTATTAGTGTAAAATAAACAAAAGGTAGGTAGAAACTGCTGCAATATTGTATCTACATACATACTTCAGGCTAAAAGGCTCACAAGTAAATTGTTTTCGTCTTTGCAAGGTCGTAGTAAAACCAACGCTTAGCTATTATTTGATTATTGCTGCAAAATTTTTGCTCATTCTGCGCTACTGTTCAGTAAATAACTATGCTCTTACCGGTATAAGTACATGCATATACATAGATACGCACATATCTACATACATATGTATGTATGTGTGCATGGATATGAAATGCAGACCTTTTTTGTATTGAGCTTTCTTCTAGTAATACATACATCCATACATATTCTTTTTCTATTTACATGTTTATATTTTTGGTTTCTTATTAATATCCTTATAATGGCGAATCCAAACATTTAAAATAAATAAAAAATTTATATGTATTGTTTTTTCTGCT